CTCTCTCTCTCTCTCTCTCTCTCTCTCTCCACACACACACACACACACACACACACATATATAAATGCAACAGAAGAGTGTCCAAGAATAGACTGACACATACAGTCAGTTCTGCTATGATGTTTGTTTTGAAAATGCAAGTTTGTTATGTGATTCATATATTAGGAAACAATTTGAACATAACATGAATTTCAAATTTCAGGTTGGTTTATGTACAATTTTGTCTGCAAGAAACACTAGGTGAAATACTAAAAAACTGCACCAAGTTGAATCAAGCCAAGTAGAAACACATACATGCACACACGTCAAACATCTATCAGCTATTTCAGCTCATCAGCTGTGTTCAAGCCACTCCTATCCACCTGTAGTATTATAATTCCCAATTCCAGATAATCTACCTACCACTACTTCACAATAACTTACAAACTGCAATCTTTCTGATGCCAATTGTATAAGCAAATTTCAGGATTTTTTTTCAAGGTAAAGTATCATATTTATTGTAGTATTTATATATTCTTAATCATCTAGAACATATTTAGAACAATGCCATTATTTTTCCTATCTTTCTTTAATGTGTCACCAAGTATATATTTTAGTGTTAAACTCCTAACCCCATTTTATCCATGTCTTGTATTTTTATTATGCAATTATGCATAGTACAGTGATTTTTAAGATCATATGTGTTGAATTGTAACAGAACTGGATTGCCAACTGATTTCTGACAAAGGTGTAAAAGCAATTCCATGGAGAAAGGTCAGTCTTTTCAATGAATATTGCCAGAACAATAGGATAACAATATACAAAAACCCATCTTATACCATAAACAAACATTAAATCAAAATTAATCATAGAACTAAATGTAAAACCTAAAACCTGAAACTGTAAGTTTCCAAGAAAAATATAGGAGAAAATCTTTGTGATCTTGGGTGAGGTAAGGATTTTTTAGATACAATAACAAAAGTATAATTCATAAAAGAAAAAAGTTGATAACTGTATTTTATCAAAATTTTAAATGCTCTTCAAAAGATATTGTTCAGAAAATGAAAAAGAAGCTACAGATTGGGAGAAAATACATTTACAAATCACATATCAGACAAACGACTTGTATTTAGAGTATGTTACAAAAAACCCCTCAAAATTCAAAAATAAGAAAACAAACAATCCAACTTTTTAAATGGGCAAAAAATCTGAACAGATACTTCTCCAAAGAAATAAATACATGAAAAGGTGCTCAATATTGTCAGTTATAAGGGAAATGCAAATTAAAATCACCAAAAGATACTTTTATATGGCTATTAGTAAAGCTAAAACAAAAAATACTGACAAAACCAAGTAATGGCAAGAATGCAGAGTAACTGGAGCTCTCAGGCATCACTGGTGGGTATGCAAAACAGTAAAACCACTTTGGAAAACTGTTTGGAGGTTTCTCATTAAATTAAATATACACTTACCAAACGACCAACCAACCAATCCCACTACTTTGGTATTTACTGAAGTGAAATAAAAATTTATGTTCACATAAAACCTATACATGAATATTTACAGCAGCTTTATTTGTCACTGTCAAAAACATGAAACAATCTAAATGCCCCTTACTTGGAGACTGGATAATCAAATCATGGTACCATCATAAAAGGAACACTACTCAGAAAGTAAAAAATATTATTGATACACACAACAATATGGATGAATCTCAAGTGCACTATACTAAGTTAATAAAGCCAGGTTCAAAAGACTATAGACTGTCTTCCTCTATATTATTCTGTGGAAAAGGCAAAACCATAGGGCCAAACAGCAGCAGTTGTCAAGGGGTAAAGGGAGAAGTGACTTATAAGGGGGAAATTCTGGGGGGTGATGGAGCTGTTTTATATCTTGATGTTGGAAGTGGTTATAAGACTATACGCATTTGTCAAAGCTTGCAGAACTATACACAAAAGTTATATTTTAAAAAATAAATTTCATATTTTGAAACTACTGCAGATTCACATGCAATTATATGAAATACTCCAGATATCCTGTTTATCTTTCAGCCAGTTTCCCCCATGGTAATATCTTACAAAACTATATTACAATATTACAACCACAATAATGACAATGATGCAGTCAAGATATGGAATAGTTCTATTATCACAAGAATTCAAAGGATGAGTTTTACTCTATGTAAATTATACCTTAATTCTATAAATAAAGACATTGTAAGTCCTGTATTTCTCTTTTAAAATAAAGTACAACATTAATACTTAATTTTAGGATCCCTTGAAATTGATTTTCTAACCATGCTGAGTATTTTCAGTTAAAAATTACTTATCCTTGTATAATAACTAAATGCACTATGATTTTCAGCATAATTTAAAAAATATTTTCAATGTACTACTATGTTCTTTCTCTACACTTTAAGGCTTTTAAACTCTGCAATTTTATTTCAAAATTACATGTAATAAAACCTAGTTTTTGAGATTAGTCCAGCTTAATATAACATACCTTGTAGAGCAGAACATTGGCTTCTGTGGCCATTCCAGAGAGAAGGAAGAAGGGAAGAGAATTTTCTTATCCTCTGTTACCTTTAAGAGATTTACACCACTCCATAAAGGTCCTTTGCTGTACTATTTTTGACAAAACTGATTATGCTCACTCAGCATAACGCACTTGAGTCCATCCAAGTTGTTGCATCTATCAAGAGTTCTTTCCTTTTTATTGCTGGGTAGTATTCCATTGTATAGATGAATCACAGTTTGTTTATCCATTCACTCTTTGAAGGACATTTGGTACATTTCCAGTCTTGGGCTATTACAAATAGAGCTTCTATGAAAATTCATGTATAGTTTTTTGTGCGTATGTAAGTTTTTATTTCTCTGAGATAAATGTTCAGGTGTGTGATTACAGTATGGTTCTATTTATACAATATTCTTAAAATAACAAATTTAGAGGTGCAAAACTGATAAGTGGTTGCCAGGAGTGAGGGAAGTGGGGGAGGGTGTGACTATAAATGGGCAGCACAGGAGAGTTCTTTTGTGATTATGGATCAGTTCTGCTTATTGATTGTGGTGACAGTATTCAAATACATATATGTGGATAAAATGTTATGGAATTATACACAAAGACAAATAAAAAAATGAATACATGCAAAAAACTGGTGAAATCCAAGTGAAGTATATAGTCCAGTTAGTTTTACTGTACCAATCAATTCCCTAAATTTGATAATGTAGTGTAATTTTGTAAAATGTCACCTTGGGGAAGCTGGGTGATGGGTACACAGGACCTCTTGGGACTAATTTTGCAACCTAACGTGAGTCTACAATTACTTGAAAATAAAAAGTTTTTTAATGGTATAATAAGGATACTTTATGCCTAAGAGGCCTGTGAAAATTAGCACAGTATGTTACACACAGTAAGCCTTCAATATTGAAAATAAAGTAAAATAAAACATGTTTTTTTTAAAAAAAAGAATAAAATGAACCTGATTATGAAACATCTGGTTTAAAGTTTATAATTCACTATATTTCAAATGTGATAACTACTTATGATAAATCTTTCAGTTCAAACTGAAACGAAGATGATGTGTTTTTACCTAGAAAACCAAATGTCATTTCCTAATGAGTTTAGCGACTTTCCTATATAAATTTTTGGTATTACAATTAGAACATATTGTGTTATCTACCCTTTAAAGGAAATTTAGTTTACCAGAGAGATGAATAAAAGGCAAATTAAATCAAGAAAGAGGAAAAAAACAGGCTTAGACAAATATATATTAAAATTACAAAAAATATAAAACAGGCTTAAAGAGTGAGAAAATTTGCATACCTGTTAACTTGATATGTCCTATTTCATCAAGCAAAATGCTGTAAATCAAAATTCACATTCAACAACATGGGATAAAATATTTTTATATACAACATTTACATAAAAATCATCATAAATTAGGTCAATATATATTTGATATGCAGGAAAATTTTTAAATGACTAATTTAAAATCAATGAGTATCTTATGAAGATAACTTTTTATAAGTTTCATATAATTGTATAATTCATATATATTTTCACATAATCTTTAAAATAAAAGACTTTATGGGGAAAAAGTAGTTATAGAACTACTGGTAACAGGGACACATAAAGAGAATATAACTTTACTTTTCTGGCTTCAGGTCTCGATATACAATTCCTAAACGGTGCAGATGATCCAAAGCAAGGGCTAGTTCTGCGAGGTAGAATTTCACGTCTTCCTCTGTAAACAGAACCTAGAATAAAATAATAATTTACTACTTGATTTTTTAATGTTGAATTTATTTAAATTTTCTTCTTTAAAAACCATTAAACAGACAAATCTAAACAAATAAAATAAAAGAAGTAGATAGGTTTTCTTCTATATCTTCAAAACTTATTTATAAAGAGTTTTCAATAGCTGTACAATATCAATTCACTAATTTACTATAATTTACTTAAATACTCATTTAGGTTATAATTTTTCAGTGTTATAGTTTTTCAGTGTTATAAATAACTGTAATACACATACGTATTTTTGATATGCATGGAAAATGGATTTCTGAGAAATAAAACAGCAAATGCTAGGTGGTCAAGAAGAATAAATAGTCTAAGATTCTTGACATACACAACAAAATTATTTTCCAAAAGGTAAGTACAATAATTTCCACTCCCAACAGCAGCTTATGAAAGCATGTTTCACCACATCCATGAAAGCAATGAATATTACCATTTCAAAGATATTTTCTAATTTGATACAAAAATGGCATCAGTTGTTTTAAATTTTGATTCTTAGGCTATACATTTTTCCATCTCTAGTCACCTTTCTACTTTTTAGTGAATTATCAGTAATATTTTTGTCTATTTTCCATTATTTACTTACTGATTATTCAATTGGTACAAGCCCTTTAAATATTAAAAATGCCAGTCTTCTATATTATTTGTAAATATTTTCCCACTTTGTGTTGTTTTTTGATGTCCAGTAATTCTTAATTTTATGTAGTCAAATTTATATATAAATTCTCTATGGTTTTCCTCTATTACATTAATGATTAAGGAGATTTCCATTCAATAGTCAACTACATATTCAGCTGCATTTTCTTTTAGGATAAACTTTTTTCCAGATTTAGCTCTATAATGGAAGCAAGATTTATCTTTCTATATGGTAGTGATGACAATTTAAAATGTTTTTTTCTGAAATATTTTACCAATTTTTCATATACTGTTTACTGAACAATCAATTTCTTTGCCATTAACTTGTGATTCTCCCTCTATTATAATAATATATGGTAATTCATATATTCCAGAATATTCATGGACTACACAATTTGTGTCTAATCTGGTGTTGAAACTATGATTTTTTGCTTATAGCAGCAGCTTTAAAGTTTTAAACAAGAGGTAGGGCAATGAAAAGGTATTCTTTATTTTGAAAATGTCTTAGGTTCTTTTCATTTGTTTGCTTTTCCAGGTATGCTGATGAAATCAGTCAATTTCAAACAAACAAGGATTCTATTGGGATTTTGTTTGGAATTTTGTTAAGTCTATAAATTAACTCTGGAAGAACTGGAAGCTTTATGATTACCAGCCATTCATCCCATTATATTTTTTGATATTAGCAAAATATGGCATGCCTTAAGAGTTTTGTGTGTTTGTTCCTGTGTATGTGTGTCTTTGTGTGTATTGGGGGAGTAGAGAAATTCGGGGAGGTATCATTCCCTCTAAAACTTATATGACATACAGTATAAAATTCTCCAGCATACAAAAATGTATTTTTTAACATTTTTATTGATTTATTATCATTTTACAATGTTGTGTCAAATCCCAGTGTAGAGCACAATTTTTCAGTTATACATGAACGTATATATATTCATTGTCACATTTTTTCTCTGTGAGTTACCATAAGATCTTGTGTATATTTCCCTGTGCTATACAGTATAATCTTGTTTATCTATCACTCATATGTGGAATCTAAAAAAAAAAACCAAACAAACAAAGCATAAATACAAAACAGAAACAGACTCATAGACAGAGAATACAAACTTGTGGTTGCCAAGGGGGTGGAGGGTGGGAAGGGATAAACGGGATTTCAAAAAATGTATTTCTACGTCCTTTTCTAAGGCATAAAGAATAAACCCTTATTTTGGATGATGCAGTAGTTTTTCTGTGTACACAAATGAAATATAACCAGTAAAAAACTTCTTATCAATAAGCTGTCCATAGAAGTAGCCATTAAATCACTTTTTAGAAGCCTATTCAATGATAATACTAATGCACTGTCTTTTAGGAAATTCATTTAAAATGCTTGTTCTTACCTAATATTCTAGACTTAGGAATCAAAACTTACTGACTGCATCTCTGTGCTAATATGGGTTTAGATAGTCCCACATCAAGAATGGAGGTCTGAAGAGTTTAAAAAAAAAATCAGAAATGACTAGAAGTAAGAATTTTTCAAACATATTCTTGACACTTCTACAATCTAACACAAGAAATCATGAATAATTGTTACACTATTGTCCCCCTATATCTTAGAACCAGCTTTTATTAAGGTCTTTTAAGGAACCACTTTGGAAAGGGGTCCTAGACAGACCCTAACACATACTGTTTTAGAGTAAACAATATACTAAGGTCACAGTCTATGTTCACATATGGCATGTTCTGCACTATAGCTAGACAGATATAAGCCTGAGACTTTAGCCACCTAAGCACTGGCTAGCATCTCCAAAGCACATGGTTCCTTTCTCACAGGAAGTTCCAGAGCTCTGGGAATCAACAGTAAGCTCTCCCACACTCAACATTTTAATTCTGGAAGTGAGATGTTGAATCACTATCACCCAATTAAAATGCTATTCCCAGACTATCACTTTAAGAAAAAATGAGGTAGACAAGGATAGGACTTAATCTGAAACAACCAAAACACAGGACAAAATATATGAAGTGAAATGAGACTTTTCAAGACACTGGACATCAGGCAACAAAGAACAGTGAATACTGAGAGATACAAACAACTCTAAAACTGTCCTAGTTTACTACCTGGAAAGAGTTTCTAAGCAGTAATGCAGAGAGTGCTAAGTCAGACAGAGCCTACAAAACGCCTGAGTTGATGAGGCAGAGTTAAGAGACTGGGGAGACAAGAAGGACAGAACTCCCAAGATAGAGTACAGAGGAGAGAATTACAGAGGGTGAACTGTAGAGTTATGTAGATGGTCTTCCTCAAGTATTCAGCAGAGAAATGCTCAGCACACGTGAGAGAGGAAACTACCCTGAGCCAGGAAGATAACCAATGGAAGGATTAGAGGGGCTAATCCATGGAACTCACACAGGGCCAGGAATAGTTCCTATTACCCACAAACAGAGCAGAAAACCTTATAATTCACAGGGTGTCAGATAGAGTAGTCAGAAGGGTTTTGCTTCAGAATAGAGCAAAATCAACCCCTGATTAAATGCTGCTCTGATCCAGTTAAACAACCTGAAATAATCAAACTAGTTCCACAAATATACTAGAACAAAGCTCAACAATATTTATAGGAATAAAAAATATCTATCACCTAACAAGGTAAATTGCAGGATGTCTGCCATCCAATCAGATCCATGATTAAAAAATTGCCAATCAGAGATCTGAGGAAACTACTTGAGCCCAGGAAAAGAATAACCTTAAAGGATTAAAAAAAAAACACATAGCTCAAAGGACCAAGATTAGTCGTGTTCCCAAAAATAAGAGTGAAAAATCTGGACTCTGGGAGCAAGATGGCAGAGTAGAAGGACACCCCTAGCTCACCCTCTCCCACAAATACACCAAAACTCACATCCACGGACCCACCCAGCCAACCAGAGCACCTGCTGAACTCCAACAGAACATCGAACTCTTCAAAAGACAAAGACACCATGAATCTGGTAGGAGAAAAGGAAAAAAGAAAGAAGAAAAAGCAAAACAGTGCAGGATGTTCCTGCAGGGAGGGAGCAGCAAAGGAGGACTGGCGCTCACTCGCTGAATCTCCCCCTCTTCAACTGAGAGGTCAGCGGGAAGGAGGGGGAACCTCCGAGGCTCGGATCTGTACAGAGCAACCCTTAACCAACAGAACTAAATTAAATGGGCAGAAAAAGTCCCTGCGACACCCAGCCTAAGATGCAAGCTGGTAGCTGGGGGACTGGACAGGCTACACAAGCCAGGTAGAGGACTGGGGAGGCTGCACTGAGGCAACCCCGGGGGGACTGCAGGGTGCTGCATGCCGTGGCTGGGAGGAGATACAGAGCAGAACAACCTGGGGACCCCATAAATTATGAAAAAAAAAACAGCAAAGCAAACTGCTGGTGTGCCCTGGGGTAGGGGGATGCCATAGCCTTTGTCTCCTCAGACCTGCGGTGCCATTACTGGCACTTCTCAGGAGAAGAGAGGAGGGGCACAGCCACAGCCGCCATATCCTCCCATGCAAAGCGCCTGGGCAGGGGCGGGGCAGAGACCTGAATCCTTACCTGGGGGCTCCGCAACCTCCTAGGCAGGACTGAGATTTGTTTACAGCCTGAGGCAGATAGGATCTTCCTGCCATGGTACCTCAGAAAACTTGCACCGCCAAGACAAACAAGGAGATGAGTTTTGGCAAGGAGCAGGGGTGGGGCTGTTTCGCCCACTTCACTGAGCCCGCCTACAGAGCACAAACCCAAGGTGAACCTGCAGCTGCACAGAGTAGGGGGAGGATGGGTGCCAGGAGAGGGCGGGTGGCCACCTGCCTTCCTGGCAGGAACATAGCACCTGACTGCAGTGCTAGGAGGGAAGACATACACACACCTACCTCCCCAGAGTGCAGCATCTGGCTGCAGCATCAGAAGAGGGAGTGACCTGTCCACCCACAATGTAAGAGCACAGCACCTGACCCAGTGTTGGAGCTGGGTGCGATCTGCTTGCTGACAGGCACTGGGAGCAACACAGATGAGAGGCCCCAAAGGAGGGCCTCGAGAAACAGCAAGTTGAGTTCACGATTCAGGGCGAAGACAGAAAGAAAACTCGATAAAATCATTAAGAGTGCAGAGTTTCCACGAGAACACATTCCTACATCCCTTTTTTCTAAATCTTTTTTTAACTGTCCTATTTTCTATTACCTTTTTAATTTTTCCTGTTTAAAAAATTGCATATGCTTCCAGTTTTAATCCCTTTAACATTTTTTAATTTATTATTATTTTTAAAAATCCACCTCATTTCATTTTTACATTTCTTGGTTTTGATTTCCTGTTATTGATTATACACAGGTTTCAAATATCTTTA